TGAAATGGAAGTGTGCCTCTCATTAATGAGTTCACTGCATACACCTTACTTCCTAGCTGTTGTACACACAGGTTATGTACATGAGCCCCCAGCCACCTAGTGCAGAGGTAGGTAAGTAAGGATGCTTCCTTCATTCTTTGAATGATTTGGATGATTTGTGCTGTGTGGTTAATAATAATAATTATGTCTAAAGACAACTAGTAAAACTTATTCAAACTACTCCCCGTACACCCAGAAGGCTCCCAGAAGCAAAACAGAGCAAGAGTTAGCTTTGAGGGTCAGGGTTGGTAGAAGACTTGCTCTTTCACAAGAGACTCTACAGTGGAAAACACCTAGGCAGCTTCTGATAGCTTTGACAGCTCAAAATGAATGGGGAGAGTCTCAACTGCTTACAGAAACCTATATATATAAACTGAGCATAAAATAATGTAGCATATGCATGTACAGCTGTGTGAGATATTCCAGTAAGTTTAAGTGCAGCCTTACCATAGGCACAGAGCAGGCTACAGAGAAGGAGCTTTTATTCTCTCACAAGTGTTAGTAGGGGTGTAATTCTAGTTTTCAGCTAAATGAGTTTTGTGACAATTGATTTAGCCTGGCTGTTGCTACAAAACTTAGTAATAACAGAGCATATTGTAGAACCGGTAAAATAGGTCATAATTAAGTAAGAACTCTTATTATATTTATGTATAAACAACTTATTTGTATTCATAGTGGATTGTCTCTGCAAGTCTATTCTTGTCTCAGAGCCAAATAGAAATTTAATGTCATTGTTATGTTTAGGTGAACATCACACTCTTATATTCCCCTCTGTTTGGCCTTGAATAAAAATCAGAGCAACAATAATATAAATGGTACAAAAGTAGTCATGAGCAGTAGCCCATCTGTACTGGACAGAATTCTACAAATCAATTAGATGGTCATAAAAAGCTAAACAGATGTGGATGAATCAACTGTGGAAATAAAATGGATTGAACTCTAGCGTTTATTGTTCATGTATAACCCTTTTTCTTAACTAAGATGAGTAAATTACACTAATTAACCTTTAAAAATTTAGATGATTTCTAAATAATACCTTTAAACAATACCTATTCTTTTCATTGTTACTTGTAAGTGTTTTGTCCGTGACAAGGCAGTTTCATTAGAAGATCTACGGAGGTAGCTGTTTAAACGTGTCCCCCCTCTCCTTCCATCACCAGACTTCTTACAATGAATACTCCCACCTCTCCCCATTAAGCCCTTTCCTGAAGTCAGGAGAAGTCACGTGCACTTATCCTAGCAAGCAATGGCAAGAAAAATCATCTTTTGGAAACCTGACTTGGTCTCACTGCTCTTGGGTGGAATAGAGTCTCCAACAGGATGGCAATCCTATTTCCAGCCATGAGAGCCACCTATCTGGGATAAAGCAATGCTGGCAGCAAACACAAGGTATAGGCCAATGCTTTTGGGCAGGCTGACTGGATACAGACAGTTCTCAGCTACTTTCTGGCACCTCTTGTGACAGCAAACAATTGTGAGAGGATTATATGGGTTTGTGTTCAAAACACAGTGGTTCAGCTTGTGTTACAGCTGAGAGTGGTTTGTTTGTTCTCATTGCTGCAAATAATTTGTAATCAACCAAAAGTATGTTTGACTGTTTCTCCTTAAAATATATAATATATATTTGGCAGTCTGGGGTTAAAATTTCTCAGTGGTATTGCGAGGTCTTAATTAAAACAAGAGATAACTTATGTATTTTTAAAAAATAAAATAAAACCCAGTACCAATCACAACAATACATTGGATGGAATGGTGAATGGTTTGAGTTTCCTAAATTACTGATATTACCTGCTGATATGAGGGCTGTTCAAAAGGGTACTTCACTTTTGGGTTTATTTATTAAAATCCTGCACTCAACTATAAGAAATTAGCCTCCTAGAGGTGAATCACTCCCTACTCAGGGGAGCTTGCAGCAAAGAAGCCAATCATGCACACATTGCAGAACTGCACAGTAACACAGGATCAAATGCTTCACTACGTCTCTTGTGCAAGGTGCTAAACAGCAATTGTTCAGCATTCCTCAGGGGGACAAATGTTCTTGGCTTAAAAGCAGTAATTAGACTTTGTCCTCAGATAATTAATGCCAACTTTACAGTGCTGTAGGATTTTATTTATTTTTAACTGGAAGCTTTGCTAACTGAGGTGGAGTTTGTACCGTAGGCTATGGGACTCCAGGAGAAACCTGGGAAGATCTCTAGATTAGATTCAGGTAAGCAAAAATCTTTGCAATTTGTGGTTGGCTAGAGATTTATAAGTGTTTCCTTCAAAGCATGCATCTTGAAAACATCATGACAAAAAAGATGAAGTTTGGTTAAGGGTCTTGGCAGGCTGAAATACTTTGCAGTCTCTCTCCAACAGGACCTACCATGGTTGTTCTTTCATAGTTTACAGCAGGATAAGCTTTTTGGTGTTGACAAAACAGCTGTGCGCTAGAACACTGATAATCCCTCCCTAGGTAAGTCAATTAAGCAATACTATCCCTGATTACATGCAATTTTAATATACAGATTTGTATGGAACTTCATCTGAACCTTGTGGAGTATCATCCCACAGTAGATTGTAGTTATGTTCTATGAAGGGGTTCCCCAAAGGGGAAACCTACACAGAATTACCATTGCGTAACTCAAATCTTGGTGTATCTTGGCTTCTACCACATCAGGCATTCACACTGTCCTAAAAATGAATCTGTTTTCTTACTGTTGCGTGACTCCTATAACAGATCTCAGAATCCAGCTATGGCATTCTTGGCTGACTGATGTCAGGAAGCTTTCCAGTACTGATTGTGGGGAGAGTGGTATCAAGACCTTTCCCAAATGGCCACATGTTGAAGGCAAGATGGATTTATTAATGAACAGTGCACTTGCTTGTGAGCCTAAATTAATAAAGAATCTGCACTGTGTTTATCTGCACTGAGAACAAATGAGAGAAAACAAAGCTGAGAAACAGAAGTAGTCTTTCTGGATGTCAAGAGCAGCCTGAGAGGAAAATGTTGTATGAAGGAAGGTATACTCACTGCTGTATTGCGCTGCTGGCTCTAGTTAGAAAATAGTACTTCAGTATCCCTTTTTGCAGGAAAGTGAGTAGAAATCAGTCCACTGTCAGTAAATAGTTCTTGGTCCAGGTGGTGAGACATGTTTATGAGATGATGATAAACAGTGTCTCTGCTTTACTTGTTTCAGACTTCAGCTAACGCAGCATCACCTACCAGTACCATGGTGTCTCAGGCAGAGGAAAAATAGCTGAAATCACAGTTCTGGAAAACTAATAATGCAAGAGGTCTCTCATTCTACCTCCCCTTTGTAATGGGGTGCATAGAATTGAGTAGCATATCTTTTTGTGCAGAAGTTGTCCTTATAGAAAAAGTTAATTGTATATGGTAAAGCCCAGGCAGAAGGCAAGCAAGGATAAACTGTGAAGACCAGAACAATGTTTTATGTCCTCTTTATCCATCCCTTTATGCACAGAAGTGGTATACACATAGCAGAGAAAGGGAAACTTCCAACAGGTTGGAAGCCCTCTGAAATCTGCAACTACTTTTAATGTGCAACTAGATCAGAGAGCATCTTTCTAAAGAATATTTATAGTACATGCATATCGGCATTAAGTGCACGAGAAATTAACAACTTGAAACCAAAGAATGGCAGAGGTCTAATAACAAAGCAAGATGAATACCTTGACATTTTTCAAGTGTATCTGTACCATTTATTTGACAAAGTATATAGGGCTAATAAATTACCATCCAGAGTACTTCTGCTGTTGCCTCTTTAGCTATTGTCTTGTTATAATGCATCTTCATTATGCTTTCAACCCTTAACTGTTATGTTGCTGCCATCTTAAGAGAAGGAGAATCCCATGGCAGGAGATCTTTCAAGTAGCAGGGCAATTCACTATAGAAAAAGCCACTTTGAAACTGCTAATGCAGTCTTTTTGTAACCAGTCTCCCCTGAAGAAATCAGCAGTCTTTGCAATTTATTCCAAGAACTGACCCCAGATGAAGACTTAAGGTTCACCCCATGTGTGTATATACACACAAAAAACAAATTTATATGCACTTGCTTTAATGTAAACAGCGAATAATTTGAGACAAATCTTGACCCAGGTTAGTCTCCTCTAGGGCTGCGCTCTAATTTTCCAGAGCAAATTGCATAGTGCAAATGCAATAGAGTTAAAAAACACATGCCAAGTGTACTTGTTGAATTATGCTGCATGTAACTAGAGAATATTGCTTTATAAATGTTAAGTCGCTGCAGTCATTCTCCCTGTCCCCAGTTGTAACTACCCCCTCACACCACTCTTTCAAGCAACACCATGTGAAGTGTGTGGTGCCAGGCCCAGTTATCTCTACATTATACCGTTCGAGCTTCCAGATCTTTAGACACAATACAAGGGAATTTATTCCAGGGAGCATCTCAGTTATCTGCTTGAGGTAAAAGCTGCAACTCAGGGTACTTCTTCACCAAATTACTCCTCTGTATGAGCTGCTAGGGCTTAGGACAATGCCAACAGAGTGTAACACAAGCAGCCTATGTCTGATGCTGTATTAATTTGTAGCATACAATTTGAGCAATGGCCTTATGCACAGGCAGGTCCCAGTCTTAAAACTGTGAAAGTACCTCTTTTTACCTGCTGTTGTATTTGATGCAGTCATGACTGCCTGGGGCAATATCTTCTGTGGACATTAAGGATCTGAACAGATAACTGTCATACTGTTTTCTTTCCTAAACCTGGGACTAGACCTCAGTAGCTTACTTACCCACCTTTGTTGATTCACCAACGGAGAAGCAATATGTGCATTTGCTACAACAGATCTTACTCCAGATAAGAGCACTGAATCACAGAAGATGCTAGCTACTCTTCAAAGGGCAGGATGGTCCAGTCAGTGATGTTCTTAACACCTGCCACAGCAACTGATAAAGGGTCAGTAATAGTACAGTAGTAAAAACAAATAAGCAACAATCACATGTGGTCAAAGGTCTGATTTTTAATATAAACTATACACCTAGCATCCATGATTCTTCAGTGATACAAACATGCTTATGGAAGGAAAGGAAGCTGGTGCCTTCTAGCAGCTCCTCAGAACCTCCTCTTGAACAGTGTTTATAACAAAGTTAGGTTGTTAGCAGGGTACAAAGGTTTAATTCTTAAAGGGCAATGAGGGATTGAAAAAACAGTTGTCTGTCTCTATTTACACAGGCAGGATTTCTGTAACCATCTTTCCATTTTAAATATGCCAAAAATGCAATTTGCTGCTTTTCTAACAGCTGTGAAAACAGTGACAAATATGGCAAAAATGCAGGTAAATATGCATACTGCAAATTTTGTAATACCTTTTTTCCCGACTAAGACAGTTTACTTATGAGGAAGCATTTCATTTTATTTCACAAGTCTCTGCAAACTACTTACATGAAAAATATTCAAAAGACAGCCCTTTTGAATACTCAATCACCAAGAATTACATGTGAAGTGTAGCTTTTGTATGGAGGTTAAGACTTTCCACATAAGAACAATACTGCAATCCTCCTTTATAACAGAAGGGAACAGAATATTAGAATGCTATTCCTAAAACATTCTTCATTTTAAAGTAACTGTTTCATTCATAAGATTGTTTTTAAATGAGTTCTTCTGAAAGCAAGCTTTCAAAATCATCCAAAATGAGCTTATATATGCATGCTTTGTTTTCATTGCTAAAGTCTTTGATGAACACTACTCAGGTCCTATGGTTTGGGTTTGTGTGAAGCATGATGAAGATTCTGAAAAGACTTTTTCTGAATTATCGAAGAAGCCGCTCAGCCTCCTTGCACTTGCTTTCCTTCGTTTTCCTCAGTAATGCCTGTTTTATAGCATTGATCTTTTCATCAAGTTCAGCCAACGAATAGTTCTGCTAAAAGAACAAAATAAAAAGTAATTATTTACATCTTGTAACTGCTAGAGTAGTGGCCTAGCATTTGATACTTGAGGTCATTGCACATTGCACTAAATGACAGAAATACTTTTGAAAAATTATGTGAATCTTGTCTATCTCTAAAAAAAGAAGAAAAAAATATAAACTTGAAAAAAACTGACAGTCCTAATCATGGATCAATATATCCATGCTATTTCCATTAGATGCTTGATCTGTTAATCAAAAAATAAATAAAGAAAACCCTTTGATGGTAAAACATTGGAGCAGACTACCTAGAGCTCACAGAACAGAGCTTTACAACTCAAGTTTTGTTGTATTTTTTTTTTCCCCCATCAATTTCCTCTGTGTCCATGTGAAGTGATGTGGTTGTTGACCACCTTTTACATAAGAAAAAATATTTTACCCTACAGAAGTTTTTTTCTGGTGCAAGTAAGCCTACTTCCTCAAGCCTTATATGGCTCACATTCCTTTTTAAGTGTTCTCTCCAGTCATCTGTCTTCAAGCATGACTAGCAGCAGACTGTGTGCCAGTTATGGTACCATTTTCACTACGGAGAAATTCCCTCTTGTGTTAATGTATTCTCTGATGTGATACTGGTATGAAAATAGCAAGGCTCACTGACTTAACTTTCTATCTGCTATAATGTCAGGTCTTGCTGCAACACTTCTGCTGAGACAGCAATTTCCATTTTTATCATCTCTTAATAAACTGATAAAGTAATTAAAAAAAAATTACTAGGAAGGTGATTAGAATTCATGAACTGCTTGTTACCCCCAGCATGATTAGCATCTATTATAGAGTTATTTTCCATCATCTTTCTAATTGTTGAAAACAAAAAGTAACCCACCCTAGTACAGACTTGCGGAAGGCTCGTTTCGCTGTGTCATCCATTAACTTTTTCTCTATCCTGCCCTTTCTTTATCAGCAAACTAGCCCACAACAATACAGCTATTTTTGTGAAGTCAGACATTTGCTTGGTTGAACTTCTGATTAATTCTCTCTCAAAACATCCTAAACTGAAGGTAAACAAAAGTTAACAACACTTACATGCGGAGGTTGAACCTTTCTCCTCTTGCCAGAACAGCTCTAAAGAAAAAACATAATCAAAACAGTCTTAATGTTGAGTTGACAGAGTTCAGATAAGTAATTCTGAAATCTACAGAGCCTGTAACTATGTTGACAAGAGTCTTAAAAGTACAGAAAGAATTGTGACTACCATTCCATGAGTTAAAGAAACCTTTTTATGATTAAGTGTACTCTGGACCATGAGAAATACCACTGGAGAGCAGTCAGAAGTTGTTGAAACTTCTCTGTGCTTGGCAGTCAACGTATTCACCAACAACTTAACTGGAGCTTCCTTCAGTAAAAACAAAAATCAATATCCAGCTTTTGAAACCATCAATATTTTTCTCTCTAAGATTTTCTTGTATCCACACCAATATTTAAGTAAACTTTGGACAAAAAAAAAAAAAGCTAATTACTCCACAATACTAATCTTGTCTCAGTAACCCCCCACCCTGGTCCCCATAATAGCGATGATCATAAAGTATTTTCCAAGGGAATTTCAGCATATGAAAGTACATGTTTTTTAACGTCTAGTTTACAAGAACTTGAAGGAATAACCTTACAGAAAAATGACTTTATTGGTCTCTACCATGGGAAAAAGTGAAAAAGAATGGTATTATTGCTGTTGACTTTTAAATGCTGACTCTTCTTTGGCTGGTCTCAAGGGAGAATATGTGAATTCAAGTATGATCAACAGAAACTTTCTTATTGATTATTACATAAGGAAAGAAGGAAGAGCAAGATACCAGATCAAAAATTTCTGCAGCCAAGCAGAACCTCATGTAGAAAAAACTACTGTTCTCTTGCTCTAATCTCCACTGGTGAATGAAGGATAGAGCCTACTATTCAGAAACAGACAGAACTCAGCCTGGAAACCAGCAACAAAGAAACTGGAGTCATAGAATCATACAAAACAAGACAAGTGTTGTTTTGACAAGACCCTCTCATCGCACTGGAACAACTATTTTATATACCTGATCTTTAGTAATCAGATCATGTACAGAAGCCCAAAGAATTGCAGCTGATTTTTTAAGCCATTAATGATTTGTATCAAGATCTAAACTTTAGTCAATTTTCTTGTCATCAGAAACACTTCATATTTTAAGGGGACAAAAAAAAAATCCATCCTCTATAAAATAGTTCTTACAAATTAGTTAAGCTCAGGTAGCTACATTTATTTTTTTCAAACAAAAACTGTTTTCTTTCAAATGAGAAATGAGGCAGAAATACGACCTTACGGAAATTGTCCCCATGAAATATAACTATCGTATCAAGCCAGAGTTGTCTACCAATAGTAACCTATTATTTTTCTGTACATCAAACATTTAAGCACAGAATCCCCAAATCCATTTAGGTATAGTAAAAGAATGAGAGAATTTCTTACTACAGATTGAAAATATTCAGGAGATAGTCCTTCCAGCTCAAGGATTTTATCTTCAAGCTTCTTAATTCTCTGATAAATATCTTTTGGTACAGGACCACCTAAATATATCAGTACAAATGAAAAAAAAATTAAAAAAAATCAGGAAAAGCACTTGAATAGCTTTTTTTTTAATTAAAAGACTGCAAGTTTTGACTTTGAGTCCTGCTACCAACCAGCAGCTGGAACAAAATGAGTGGATGGGAAAATAAAAGGGAAATGTAATTAACATAAATCACAATAAAACCTCGTTGGTAAGCCAGTACAATCCATGAAGGCAACAGACAACTTTATATACGTGGTTGAAAGAATGTCTCAGAAGGTCCCTGGAACAACAAATGATCACTTTCACAATGCCAAACGTGCCAGATGCCACCTCAAAACAGACAGTGGCAAGAAGAGGGTGCAGACAGGATGGCAAGCCACACATCAATTCAGCTTTGATATTTAAGACTGAAGTGAAGGAAGCCTATCTCCACCAAGCATCAGAGAGGCTAGAGAAGAAGTATGAGTTGTGATTGACAAAGAACAACATTTGCCTGGGTATGGATGGGAGAAGTAGGAGTGGGAGATGTGCATGGAGAATGGAGTAACAGAAATTTAAAACAAACAAACAAAAAACACCACCACCTAAACCCACTTGCTGCTGACAGCTATACTACAGAAGCCTGGGCTTGTTTCCCCACATAACAGAAGTGATCAAAAGATCACCTTTAGAAAGCATCTCATTTATGCTATATATACTATAGCATAAATATATAGCATATATTTATACTATGGTATTCTATAAACTGAAATCACTGTTTATCAAAACTATTGGGTATTCCAATTGGAATTGGTTCTGATCAGTAGCGACAATCAAGGCCTTTGTAAGCTTTTTCTTCTTCTCTTGACACCCCTTTCTGTTTCTTTCTAGGTCTGTTATATAAGACAGTTCTGTTCCACAAACTACTGAAAGAAGCACTAACGTCGAATTCTTTCTTTTTTGCCATTCATCTATTTCCTCGCTTCAAACAGACAATTTTTTAGGTACCTTCTCCCTCTGTTCTGCTCTCTATTCATCACTCAACCGCTACTAATTAAATTCAGCAAACCTCTTGTTCTTCTTAATATTGCTGGCCCTTAATTTAAAGAGCAGATCAAAGAACAGTACTAGCACTAAAAGAAATCGTTCTGAAAAACAACTAGTAAGTCAAGAATAACTCTCAGTCATCATAAATTAAAGCTAGGGAGTAGTTAGCTGAGGTAGGTTACCTGCTTAAATGAATACTTTTTGCACAGCTGCTGGGGAAGTAACAAGTTATCTCACAGCCTTTCCCAGAAATGCTGATTTGGACAGGAGCTGAGCTGGAATTGCACACTTTCATCCTCTTCCCCCCTATACTGTATTTTAGTTGATTCATTCTTTCAAATAAAATTATGCCATCTATTGTACTGCACAACCTCGAGGCAAGGATCCCTCCTTAACTATCCCTGATATTCATTAACTCCAAAGCTACTACATTTGTAGCTTTAATGCCCACCAGCCACTTGCAAATTCTATTTCTGCACACACAAAAAAAATTATTTTTGAGGTAGCACAGCTAAGCATCAAGCTCTGACTGTTGCCTCAACAGTATCAAGGAGCATCTACTCTCCTCTCTGCCTCAAGGCTGATGCAGTATGCATTCACAGGAATCTAGTGGTCTAGTCACTATTCACCATATCCTAGAGAATGGAGTGGCATCTATTCAGTTATTTAAAAGACAAAAAAGTCAGCCTGTGCCTGCAGTGTGAAGTGTACAACATTCACATTAAGAGGTAAGGATCTGGATTTCTACTCTGTTTTGAAAACACCTTCAAGAAAAATAGATTCCTCCTGGATGAGTACTTTATGGATTTGAATTCTAGAAAACGGGGCTGGGATGAGCTACATTTAAGAAATCAGTAGCATGGTGGCTAGAGCATTTATTTTCGTGAAAGGTGTAGGCTCATGTCCATATGGCTAAAGGAAATTAGTGACAAGGAGCTTCACACGTTCTAGGAAACAGAGTATCACAAGCCTCTCAGATAACCAAATTTCATGAATCATCCAATTTTAGGAAAAGGTTTCAGGTGGTGTTTTTGATTCATCTTATCCAGAACCCACAGGTTGTCCACAAAGCAAGACTGAGTCCTGACCTCAGCTTTTCCTTTTCAACAGGTAGAAGGCAGAAGGACTGCAATGGCTGTGGAGAACCTCTGTCCAAATTCCAGACTGTTTTAAATCCCACTGAAGTACTTCTCTCTCCTTGGCTACCACTTGAAGCTTAAATTTATTAACTCAGCAACCTAGTCTGGACATAAATCTGGATTCCATTTTGCACATAAGATCCTAAATATTAGATTGTAGTACTTGGAGGGACTAAACACTTTAGTGGATCTAGCCCACTGCTTTTACATTCACAGAGCTTATAGACTTGCCCATTTTTAGTACAGTAGTAACTGTAGTAAAAACTGGCACACCAATGTCAAAATTAAAATGTAGTACAAACCTGTTTGTAACCGTAAGTGTGCTTCAATATTTTGCAATCTCTCCTCAACAGCTTGGTTTCCACAATCATGAATGGGTACACTGGCTTTATGACTGGACCCATGTGCTCCTTCAAATCTAGTCTGAGGCCCATATGTATTTACTACCCTAGAAACTAGGTAAAGAGAAAGAAATTTAACACATATGCACATGAAACATCAACATATGTATAATTAAAACAAAAATTATTGTTAAACAATTAATATGCCATTAAAATGTGAAAAGCTGTGTTAAATCTATTTCACAACTGTCATATTTGAAGGGTTCCTCACATACTGAGATCAAAGGTTTGGTAAAAGTCCTTATTTTTATATATGAGTAACTAAACAAAAAAAATAGCAGTTTATATTTGCAAAGGAAAAACAATCATGCATTCATGCAGAATGGCAGTATGAAGAATTTGTCATCAGCTGCAGATGAATAGCAGAAAAATAGGTATCTGTCAGTAGTTGCATGTGTGAACTGTTGTGAATGCAAAGAGGCCAGACCTAGTATTACAGAAAGCACCAAAAGTACATGCAGTTGAGGGAAGATGTACGACCAGAAGCACTGTCAGTTTAAAAAAAAAAAAAATACTACTGAGAGAAGTTCTTAAAGATCCTTAGCTTTAACTCACTTCCCCATCCACTTGCTCATGAGACTTTTTAATGCTTATACCTAGCATTGTGCTCCACAGAATTTCTCTGAGTTTCTCAAAAATGGAAGAGAGGATTACTTCCATTCTTGGATTTTGTTTTAATCCCAGAGTAACCTGTGTACAAGCAATCTTTTATAAATAACTTTTGCTGGATAATCATTTCTACACTATTTAATCTTTTACATAAGATAGTGCCATGGTAACTTTGTTCTCCAACCTGTCACTTCCCATAAATTTGTCTCAGAACTTTCACCATATCCCCAAATTATTTTCTACCTCAATATAATTACACTGATTAATGGAAAATAAGAGATTTATTTATTTATTTTTATAATCTCAATTCCTTAACTGGACTGCTGGTTTCACCTTGGAAAAAAATTGCAATGAATCTTACAGCTTCCCTGTCATGCTTTATATTTTGCATCTTTGCTTTCAGACAATGATAACAGGCTACTGTGTTTTGGTATTCAGTGCAAAACCAATAGTCTAATGAGGAAGTTATGTGATCGAAAACCTTGGAGAAGCAAGGGAAGATCTAGAAGTATTCGTTACAGTCATAAATTAATTTGTTAAGTTTCCATTTTTAAGCACTCTATAAAAAGATTCTAAGCCAAAATTTATCAGTACTGTTCTATCTTGACTTTCTTAATAAATGGGTATTAAAATAGTTGCTTACCCTTTATATGGCTTTTAAATCCAGGATAAGGTGTGAAAATTGCATCTGTTCTGGCACAGCTATTTTCTAAATAAATAATAGTAACAATAATGAAAAGAGTGAAATCCTGATTGTGTATTTATAATTTTAAATATCAGTTTAGAGACTTTTATAAATCTAATTAAAATTTTTACAACAAAAACATCAGAAATCATTCATTCATTCCACAAACAGTTGCTCATGAATAATTTCACACACTTGCATGGATCAGATGGTTTAACTGGAGAAGTCACTTATACGAATGTATGCACATATATATGTGTGTGTGTATATATACACACACACACACTCACAGAGGACCAATTTTTTTTAAAGAAAACAAACAAACAAACAAATTGTCACTGCACTCTTCTTTCTTCCTGCACAGAAGTCCTTTCCTTGCTTACCATTGCTGTTCTGATTTTACGTCGTTTCTTGAAACTGTTTTCCTCATATTTTGGACTGGCTTAATTTACTCATCAGAATCCTATTTTCATCTTCCTGCATTTATTCTGATGCCTGTGACTTCTTTAATTTGCTTAGCTGTAAAAACCTACTGTATAGGCCATCTTAATTTATTCAAATGTTTATATTTAAATATCTGTTCATATACACCAAAGGTTTACAAGTATTTTATTATGGTTGAACATACCAAGGAAGATCTTGTCATTTCTTCTGTACTTAATTAATAATTTTAGGAAGCAGTATTTTATCAGCTAGCATCTCCTACTAGACTGTAGATGTCATTTTCATTCCAACTAGTATTCAAAGAGTTAAACTCTCTTCATGTAAAACTTGTGGAACAATACGCTTTGATCTCTAAAAGCACTAAGTATATCACAGAGACAATGCACATCTGGGTTCACAGTTACATAGAAAATCTATGTCTCTTTACTACTTTTATATACTTAAGTGTCTTCACTGTTAAGATGCATTTGGTTACACAGACACTGTCTGTGCTAATGGGATCCAGCCTAACAGATGGATTTAAGACTGGTCAATTGTGCAAGGTGGTATATTAAAAATACCAATAGCATGAGATACATTGAAATACAAGAGTTAGTTATTCTAAGTAGCTTGCAATTCACAATGATTAAAAAAATATTTCTTTGTAATACTTCAAAACTAGCATTAAATTAACTTCAACTTCAAATATGCCATTCCTAAGACATTTCCGAATTGTGATTCTGTTAACTTTGGAAGGAACATCTAGCTAAAACACTGAGAACAACAGCTGCAAAAATCATCTGATTTAATATCACAGTTCTTAAAGCAAACACAGTAATATCTGTAATCTTTCTGTATGGAATCCATTAAACATTGTCATCCAGTAAATAATAATTTTTGCTTTTTTGGTCCATCCGGCAGCATCTACAGTGCACGTGCATGTTCTTAACTTTAAAGAAAAGTTACTCTTAAAATAAAGTTCTGTTTTAAATATAGAATGTTATCTTAAAAAAATAATAAAAACAATAATAAAAAAACTTAAATTGCTATGAAGATTAAAGTCTGGCCAGCCAGTTACCTTGATTACAATCAATAACATTGCAAAATTCCCTGACATTATTTTCATTGATCTCAGCTTGTTTCCTCTCGATGAAGGCTGATATCCGCCTGTCAATCTGTAGGTAATAAACATGATGGCATATATCTCCGTCATTCTTTAAATTTAGAATCTAGATTTATTTATTTATTTATTAATTTAGGCAAATCACTTACTTCTGCTTTTCCAGCTTTTATTTGGACCACCTCTGGATCAAAATTAATATGAGCATCCTTCAGATCTCCCAGGTCATAACTTGCATACTTTTCTTCAGTCTGAGAGTTATCATCATAAATGTTTAAATTAGTTTCACAAGTTTGGCCTTCTGTTTTACCTGCAGTTTCAACATGACCTATACCTTCCTCTTTAATCAATGGCTGGAGTTTTTCTAAAAGAGGCTGAACAAAAAAAAACGGTATGTTATAGTTAAAGGGGAAAAAAAAAGTCTAGTACTATTATAATTTCTGAAACAGACCAACTGAAATAATTTCAGTAATTGTAACATCTGCCTCCGACAGAGAACAGTAATTAAAATAAAAATAAAAATCTATAGTTAGAAATACTACACACATCATGATTTTGGCCTTCTTGACCTGCGTCTTTTAGAGGTTTGTATAGGGAAACTCCCAAATTTCTGAGAAAATCTGTCTGCTACTCATCTGTTGGTAGCTAAATCAAAGCTTCAATCGTTGGCACCAATGCCACTTAATTAACATGTCATTCAAATGCCTACTCAGAACAGTAAGGCTTAGTATTTTTCCTTCTTAACACGAAAGCTAATGCTTTCACACTGTAAAGCCTTTACTTTATCACCACAGCACTACATTCTCCACTTGAAACTGCAGTTGCCGAAGTGAATGAGAGAACACAGACATGAAATATATAGGTATTATCCAGAGCACATGCTTTTCTTGACATGGTTGATTATCTACTTAGGTCATGAAATTAAATGAGAGAATGCACTTACATTTGTAGCAGCAAAATAAATGCTTATTATTCTACTGCAGTAACTCTTACATGTGATGTAAAACAAGACCTTGCTGTATATAGAAAAGTCACATACCCACCCCCCCCCTTTTTTTTTTTTGTTTTTACCAGTTTCATCTAATCTAAATTTTAGCGCTTCTTTTCCCTTTGGAAATCCACAACTCATTTATTTATTTTTAACCACAACATGATTTTTGCTAGTCATTTCCTGAAATGGAATCATATTTCTCCATTTGACTGTAAGAACACCACAAGTAATTTGTATTTTTATTTAACTTGCTTATTTTCCCTTTGTATTTATTCCACCAAAGACTTCTTATGTCTGGGAAACATGAAGGTTTTTTCTTATACTTGGAGAGAAGCAAATACAGAAACTTCTTTTTTTTTTCCACCCTCTCAAAACTACATACTTGAAATAATTCATTGACTAGCTGAAGGGAAAAAAGATATTCAAATCCCCACCTTTGACACATCGACTGTCAAGGTCAAAACACTGTTCAGTTACCAGCTGAACACACCCTCCCCACCATACAACTGAATTCTAGATACTTTTGACAGGGTTGGAAAGTTTCAAACAGTCAAAAGAAATGACAGTAATGGTGACTGGCTACTTGGCAAGATGAGACATTAATGTCAAAGAAATTACTCTTAAAAAAAAAAAAAACCCTACGCTGAAAATATATTTAATTGCAGTAAGACACTCCAGGATGTGTCATGCTGGGATAATGCCACTTCTTGAACCACTGAAAGCACTCCATGAGCCTCAAAACTCACCCAACGCATGGAATCATTATCATAGCATGACACACACCTGCCGTGTCTTATTGCTTAATTATAACCCACCATAGATGGAAATGTATCACATTTACAATGCAAGTCTAGAAATCAATGAGGCTGCATTTATTCAGCCTGCTCACCTACAGTGGCTATTCCCACCACTAATCTGAAAAATCTGCGAATACCTATGAAGCATACCAGGATCTCAAGTGTATAATACTTGTGAACCTTTTTTTTTTTGTTGAACATAGCAATAAGATCAAAACAACTAAAATTTTACAGTTTAGATAATGTAACTACATCCAGTTTTTGTCCACTTTAGTCAAGTTGAATGTATCCAGTGAAATGTTTACCTGCAAACATAAAATATGCTGCTGAAGCGCACTAAAGAGCAATGTTGGCTGAAGTGCTGATGTGCTTTGAAGCTTGCTCCAGTCGATTACAACTTTCACGATATCATCTCCAAGGTTAAGCTTCAACAGAGCAAAAGAAACACCACAAAAAAAGTATGTTGTGTTAATGTCACAAAAATATACATTGAGTTCTACAGGACAACAATTACACTCAATCTCGTATAGATCCCATTTTATGTGGTTACAGGGGATAGGTTTGACATTAATTATAATTCAAACAGCTTCTATTTTCAAAGTAAACTAGTATTTGTGGAGTATGTTAAAAAAAATAGAAAATCCTAACTACCTAATCACAATTTCACTGTGTTAATTTGAGCTTTAACTTTGGTCAATTCTCTATTCAATTAATCCTTGTACTAAAACATACTGTTTTTGTTAATCACTCAAATCTTTTTTTAACAGATGACAGAACCAGCGATAGGAAGAAACACGCACCCAGTGTGGCAGCACCCTGTAAACTCATATATTTTATTCTTAAATGTGCAAGACTATATATCAGCCTGTGCGAACAAGGTCTTGATGCTGCATCGTTTGTACTTGTTGCTAATCCAAAGCAGGCTTTACATTGAGATTACCAGTGTTAAAGTCTTTACAAAAATCAAACAAACTCTAGACTATACAGTACAACTGCCAAACCTATTTCCAAATCACAGTTTTCCTTTATACACGTTCAGAACAAAATAACAATCACCAAATGCTGTTGTCTTTGCTGAGGAATGGCAGCACTTAACTCCCAAAACAATAAAGAGAAATGCATGTAGGGAATCTGAAGCTGTATGCTATAAGCCAAAAATAAAATCTGAGTTCTTAATGCAAAGCTGATTGTTAATAATCACTAATGAATTATGTACTTTCACACACACACTTGTCATTATTTGTTACACTAAAGCTCTTCTCACAAAATCTGGAAATGACCAACACTTTCATTTTCCTAAGCCAAGCAAGTTGCTTTCCAACCAGACAACCCCCAAGTGATCTCCCAGTTTATAAATACAGATAAAACTCTTGTTTAAAATCAGCAGGACCTACAGGTACCCTGTTTCAGATGCAGAATTCACAAGTCTGCACATTTGTATATGTAAAAAAAATTAAAAAATTCAGGCAGATGATGAAATTGACCTTTAATATGTGGTCTAAAAATGGCTACTTCAAACAGTATCAAATATTATGGATACACACACGTGTATGTACTTGTTTCCTGAATCCACAGCTCAGCACATTAGGAAACAGTGAGAAGTAAACACGAGAATGCTTCCATTACACTGAAGGAAAGTTAATGGAATACTATAGTGCTCTACATTAGTTTCAAAACCAGGCAGTACCAGAATAACTTTGTACATAAAGGACCTCCAGTCCTGAACCTTCACTCTTTAGTCAAAGAACAGCCTCATTAAATCCACTGTTAGATTCCAGATCAATTACATAGTAAAAGAGATGGGAGATCTACTGACCTTTAGAGACCAAAACAAAAACAAAACAAAAAAACACCACTAATGGAATAGTGAACAAACTTGCATTTTTTTTCTATGCACTACAAAATAGCAATTGATCATATCATGTTTTTTATCTGGCTAGGTATATATTTTAGATAAACAGTTTTTAAATAAGGAATAAACCCCTCCTGCAACCAAACATGTTTCAAATACAGTGCAGTTAGTTTTCTCATTGTTTCACATCCTTCTACCTATAAGAACTGTGACAAGCAGCCTTATAAATTCTGTGATGTGATAACTTCAAAGCCTTCGTAGGTTTACAGCTGCACAGTCTCTTCTGTAGCAATCTACAAGAATGTAAGTTATTTCAGCCCTTTGAAATTGTTTTTATGAATGACACTAATTATCACTCGGGGCTTAAAGAACTTGGCAGTCATCTTGGTTTTAAGAGTTGTTATCCCCAGATCTCCTAGTCACTGCTGCAAGTCACTGCTCTAGTAAATAAAAATCCTATGCCAGAATGATTCCTGTTTACAGTGAAAATGGCTAGCATAAATTTTACTTAAGCCACTGTGACAGGCGACAAACTGTGATAGGCTTGGCATATGTTCCACCTCTCTAGACAAGGGAGAAAGAGACCAGCAACTTTAGTCTAAAGCGCAAGATGGATTACTAGGGTGGGTAAGCTGGTAAAACACCACTGTTAAATCTAACAGAACTCAAGTTATGGCAGACAAGTGTAACTGGACAACAGGACAAAATCATGAGTGAGCAATTAAAACTCTCTTCAGCTAAGATAGGCCAACCAAACCCTAGCTGCTCATAGTTCAATGCAGAGTACAGTAAAATGGGATTGTTTATATTGTCATGGAAAGAAAACACTTCAGACACCAATAATGACAATTTTATTCTGCACCATAACTACTGCTGCTCAACTGAGGGGATGTAGCAACTCCAACATGAAACTGTATTATTGCCCCAAACCTTCAAACCACTATCTAATTTCAGGAGCCTGAGCTTGCTTCTACTGCCTTCACAGAACCGCTTACATGCTTCCTCAGTAGAAAAGGATTTAATCTGTAAATTATTTAGGGTAACGATTAAGTTGTTACTGAAACCTTCTCTGAAGGTAGGCATTGGCAACCTGCTCTAGCTGTTCCTGCTTGCGCAGGGGGGTTGGACCAGATGCTCTCCAGAGGTCCCTTCCAACCTAAATGACTGTGATAAGGGCCTCCCATCACTACTGTAACACTTACTAAGTAATTCAGTACCACTGAAACCTGAAACAGGTGATTCAACCTAACGTACCACGGAGCGAAGCCACTCTTAAGCACTCTGTGCCTGATTATGCATTATTACATCAACGCCCAGATCAAGCTCCCGACCGTTTATTGTGGGTCATTCAACCCACAGTGACTCTTCGGTAGCGTTTCAACTCAGAATGCTCGATTTTTAGGAGACCGCTACTAGGCAGCACCCGGCTTCTCACCGGCTGTCCGCCAAGCTCTCGGCGCCAGGGGATCCCTCCCCCTCGGCCCGCCCCTCACTCACCTGCCCCGCCAGCCCCACCACGGAGCGCAGGGCGCTGCTCGCCACCTCCGAGGCCGCCAGCTCGGCGCCTGCCCCCGGAGCGCAGTCGCCGGGCTGGAGCGGGCTGGGCGCTGCCGCCGCCGCCGCCGCCATGACACCGGGCCGGGCCGGGCCCCGCCGCCAGCGCCGTCCCCGGCGTCGCTGAGCGATGACGAACGCCTCGGGTGGCCCTGCCGCCTGGCCCCGCCCCTGCGAGTGATGGACGGGAGCGGCAGCCGATCGAGGGCTGCGCTGCTGAGGCGGGCGCTGCGGCTGAGCCGGGAGGTGCTGAGGGGGACCGGGCTACCAGGGGCTCCTGCGTCGGGGACGCTGTGTCCAGCGCTGGGGGGCTGAGGTTGGGGCAGCTGAGCCCGCGGTGGGGAAGCAGCCGCAGGTCTTGCTGTTCTGGTCCCCTGTACTACAAGGGAAGGAAGGACACCTGTGTGCCCACCCTGCGGTGTCCCACTTCCCAGCATGTTGAGCATGGGTTCCCCAAGTCTGAGGAGACTCAGAACCCTAGAACCATAAAGGTTGGAAAAGCCCTCCAAGATCATCTTGTCCAAACATCCCCCTACCACTGATATCAACCCCTAAACCGTGGCCCCACGTCCCTAAGCACCAGGTCCAACCTTTTCTTAAACACTCCCAGGGATGGTGACTCCACCACGTCCCCGGCCAACACGTTCCAATGCCTGACTACTCTTTCTGAGAAGAAATATCTCCTCATTTCCAACCTGAACCTCTCCTGGTGCACTGTTAGTCCATTCCTTCTTGTCCTATCACAAGCTAGCTCAGCTTTTGCTCCTCTCTTACGCTTCCCTGGGACCTTTAAGCTGTTCTCTGCTCAGGTCCGTCGCCACACAGATAGAAGACCATCTCAGTTTTTGCACAGTCAGTGTGTGTTCAGCCAGTGGTGTGGACTCCCCTCCGTGTGCTGCTTTGGCACCTATGGTATATCCAGTTTTTCAAGCCTGAACTGCAGTTACACCCTCTCCCTGCAAGGTCAACTCATTCCCTTGCCCTTCTTCTTGCCTCCTTGCTCCTTCAGGTCCTTAGCTGTCTCCAAAGGGCTGTCAGCATGGGCACGTGGCAGGCACTTCTAGCAGTGCCTTGACTGAGTGCTCTTTCATGGAGGGAAGGATGTGTGTTACTTCTAAGTGTATCAGATTAGTGCACTTGTTTCAGCTGTGCCTTGACTCTTCAGTTTACAGCAAGGTTGTTTTTTCACTAGACCACAAGGAGCAAGTTTGTCAGAATACTCTGTTTATAGGGCTTGCAAAAATATTTGCTCAAACACAGTCTCAACTTGCACTTTTCATGCCAGTTGTAGTAATTCAGAACATACATCATTAGTAAGAAGCAACAGAATGTTAAGGGTAAGAGAAAATCCAGACAAGATGGACAGAGGATATCCTCTGATCAACCAGATGTATAGTTTCATTTTCATATTGTATTAGACCTCCTGAGTTTTTGAGAAAGCACTGTGATCTTTGGTTTTATTTCATTTCCTGTCCTGCTACCCTTGCTTTTTTCCAGGTGATGCTGAAATTCCAGCAGCGCAGATAGTGTTTTTCTATCTGCTATGGTTGCCTTAAGCTTTTGGGAGATGGAAATATTTCAGGACTGTATGTGATTGTGGACGTTTTCTGGAGCATTCACCAAAAGAGAGAGTACTGGTCAGTTCCAGAGGAAAATAGTTGACTTCAGAGCTATGATTTACAAACATATTTCATGTTGAGATTTATTTTTTTTTTTTTTTACAAAAATATCTTACCTAAACTGAGCTAGAATGCACTTGGCTGGATTCAGATGATGTGAACCATCATGTCTTCTGTTAGAGAAATAGTAATGATTCATGTTGGTAAAGAGGACACAGAATTTCTTCCTGTTTTTACTGTCTCGAAAACCTTGACCCATGTTGCAGCTGCTAGCTGAATAAATTTATCATCTGAAATTCCACAGATTATGTAATGCATTATGCAAACATGAACAGAAACAGTAATAATCCAGTGATTTAAGAGATTAGAAAGATGAGGGCATGTGAGAAAATGAGAGCAGAGCAAAAAACATACAGCTAAGACAAACTGTGTTAAACGTTCATATCTAATGGGGAAGACAGACCAGAGAAGGACAGTTCCAAGAGATGATTATATGCTCACTGCATGTAGTGCGCAGTGAAAATGAATACACTTGCAATCGCCTCTGGCAGTAAAACTGGCCACAGTAAATCCAGGCCTCGCATAAAGACAGAGGAAATTACATGGCATGCTCACTAAAGCTGATGAAACAATACAATATTGGAAGCTCTCATTGCTGGAAAGATACTGTTCATTTGCAGGGAATTTGTAGAAAACTGGCAAAAAGTGGACTGCCGGAGATAGAGATACTAGTTTCCAAGGAAGGATCTGAAGATTTTAATATGCATAACTTGGCAACAATGGTCATTTTCAAATATTTTAATGATGTGACTACTGAGGGAAGGAAAAATCTGGAACTGCTTTGAACAATGACGGATAGAGTTATCGGGGTAAGATTAAATTTTCTGCAGCTTTGATCCCTGAAATTGATATCTGAGACATATAAAAGCCCCACAACTTGAAAAATAAAAACATCAAAATAAACATCAGATGCTCAATAACAACAACAAAAGAGTGAAAATAATTTTGAAGTAAAAAAAGGATTTTCTTTTGGTTTCTGGACTATCTCTCCTTTTAATGTGGTTCATAAAATAATAAAGATATACAGCTCTTTCCAACTACAGGTGCCTTTAAGGACTCTAAAATGCCAGTAGATTTTAATAAGTTGTCACAACTTGTGTTTGCTGATCACCATAATTACTAACACTATTTCTTCTGCTGAGCATGGCATTAAACATCTTTTCTGAATTTAGCCTTTAATTTTGTCCCTAACTAACACCCAAAGAAAGGTGGGTGCTTTGCAGAATGTAGCAGTGTTTGAGGTTTGTTGTGCTAAAGAGTGAAGTGCTGAGCTAAGGAGCCTGTGTAACATACAAGCAGATTTTTCTCCTGAATTGAAAAGCTCATTTTGCATACTTTTGCTTATGTCAGCTATAGCACCATGGAAAGGCAAAAGAGACAACACTTCAGGAAAATTAAACTGAAATTATCTGAAGCTTGAAAGATAAAAACAATACCCTGAATTCTGCCCAGAGCCCCAGGAAAGTGGTGCAGTTCAGCACTCACTGCTGTAAATGTAGTGTTTTCCTTAATATCCAGATTATCAGTGCTGCTCCAAATCATTTCAGGTTATAAATAGAAAATTGATAGTAGCCTACTCGTTGGATTAAAATAGAATAGCACATAACAAAGTCCCCTCCAGAATAAAAGTTTATTTATTTTTCCAAGCATTAATTTCAGAAGAAGAGCCCTTATTCTGTTGCTGCCTGGGTACCCAGGAAAAGGCATCACTCCAACCAATGGAGTGATTCAGTCCTGGTTCAACAAGATGCTTAAGCTGGTGCCTAAATTTATGCAGTAGCCCTAAAATGTAGCCTGCTTCACTAAAATGTAGCCATGTGCTTAATCACTTCATCAAATATCAAATCAATTCATTGTCAAATAGGAACTGTCTTCCTTCAAAGCAAACATCTTTGCTGACCTTTTGGTGTTTCTCTCACTGTATCAATATTAAAAAAGCCCTATTCAGACAGGATTGGAATGGGATTTGTGTGAAAAGCCCTGTGGGAAATACAGCCGTGATGTATTTGCATTCAAAGGGGGGGGGAAAAAGGAAAAAGAAAAAAAAAAAAGAAAAAGAAAAAAAAAAAGATAACCCACAAACTTATCAATATCTTATATTTATTACTAGCAGTAATTTTATAATTCCTAACAAAATACAAAATCTTCATGCAACTGTTACATGCTTCATGATTAATGTCCTTACCCTACCGTGCACTTAGATGCATGACTCTTCCTGTCGGAATCCTGCTTTTGTTTTACCCTTGATGCTTTCTAATAATGCTCTATGTTTTGCTTTATTTTGGTCATTATCGTTCATGTCTTTGTTTAGTAGTTTTCCTAACATATTTAAGTTTTATCTTCCTTTCCTGCCCCCTTCTTTCTTGATTCATTGGCAAATAACATTTACATACTCTGTAAAATTCTTCATTTCATTAATTCAAATCTTATAAAAATTAGGATCAAGAACTGACCTCAGCAAGGCCCAGCTCAACAACTCATCTAAGGAGACATTGAACTATTATTAGAATCATTCTGTGTGTGGAAATTTAGATTTCTATAGTTACTTGGAAAGGTTTGGTTGTAAACCTCCTTCCTATAAATTCCTTTTGAAACTCTAACATGAAAGTAAGGAAGGTATCGTGCAGAGGAGGTATCTATGCTCACAGTGTTTCACTTGTCTGTGAACTGTCAGTAAATTGACACAAGCATTGTGAAATTAAGCACTTATACCTGAAGATATTCTAAGAATTAATAATTTTCCACTGCATTAATATGTACATGCTGCACATATTATATATTTAACTCAGGTTTAATGGGATGCTTGAAAATCTATATTTAACAGGAAAACAGGAATATAGCACATTTACTTCAGAGAAACTTTAAGTTTTGGGAATCCTTGATTGCTGAGTGCTTGATTTTAAAAGCTGTAGCTTGCATCTTTATTAGTATAATTGGACTATTATTTTAAAAGAAATAATAGTGATAGGTGCTTCAGAATATTTAAAATGGGGTTCTTCAGCTGTGTTATATACAAGTTTTTCAGATCAGCTTAGATGGGAGCCAAATCCTTTGCATACACTCTTCCTAGCATTTTCTGCAGAACTATGAAGCTGCTGAAATTTAAATTTACCTCCTGCTTCAGCAGTTTAGTTTATACATTTTTATAGCCCAGTAGCTGGACAATTACCATCCACTAGACTGCATCTGCCATTATTGGTCTGATCAGTCATTCAGTACCCTTTCAGGCTCTTGACTTCAGGAACCAGGTCCGGATCTGAACTTTGGTATGAGATTCATGAACTGATGGTTGAAATTAGGGGCCTATATTACATAGTTGAGTTGAGCTTCTCAAGACAGGCTTAAGGGGTTAATATATCTATATTACAATGTAAGATGAGCACCTAAATCCTTTAGGCTCCTCTGGAAATATCATCCTGTCTTCATACCACCTGCAGTATTCTTCAGCTTCTACATCTG